GACCGTCACCAACGACAGGTCGGCGCCCCGCATCTTGTGATGGCGTCCCCCTCCGCCTTCTGGCCCAGCGCGAGGCAGCCGCCCAGCCAGAGAGAGCAGAGCCAGGCCGGCGTTTTTTCCTCTCGAGTCACAAGGCAAAGCCACTTCGGGGAAAGAGACACCCAGCTAGGACTCGGCATTTACACAGACAGCGACTTCTCAGCGGACCTCGCTGCCCTGGAGCTGCGGGCCTGGACCTGGATGTGGGGCCTGTTTTATACTCTCCTTGCCTCCTCTGTCCCTCCACCTCCTCCCCGCAGGCCCTGCCTCCCCATCTCCGTGAGCCCCACGCGGCTCCTCCACCCGTGGCCTGGGCTGGGCTGGCGGTGCCACAGCCGAGCTGACCTGGCCAGCAGTGCCTCGGGCCTTTCCGAACTGAGCCCCTCCCCTCCCCTGCCCTGCCTCTCCATCAGGGAGGCTGTAGGGGCCAGGTGCCCAAGTAGCTAAGGTAGCAGATGTGACTGAAAAGGTGAGCTGAGTGGCTGGTGGTCTCAGGGGCAAGTGAAGTTGGGGGGCCAGCGGCTAGGGCCCAAGTCTCCGGGAGGAAATGCAGGGAGCCCGCCTGGAGGGGCTGCGGGGGGTCTGGGGGGCAGGGAAGGGGTCAGAGGCTCTGGGCGATGGGGCCAGCCCCGTCCTGGATGGGGCACGTCAGGACTAATGCGGGTGGCACTGTGCTCACAGCTGCGGGTACCTTTGGGGGTGACTTTGTGAGTATAATAAAGTGGAGCTGACTGGACAAGGACTGTGTGTGGGGACAGGGTGGACGATACAGGGTGTGTCCAAGAGTGCCTGAGGGACGGGCCAGTGGCCTGGGGCCGTGGCAGGAGGAGGACCGATCGGCTCCCCCAAAGCTGAGAGAGCGCTGTTCTCTCCAACCTGGAGCCCAGTCGGGCGTCCGCTGGTCGGGAGTGGGGTCCTCTGGCCGGGCCGGGGGACGTCCGGGAAGATTGGCTTTGACTCTCTGTTGCCAGAGGAGACGCCAGCCCAGGACGCATCCCTCACCCTCCATGCACCAAGTTGTGCCAACTCCAAGGCAAACGCAGGTGCCTCCAGCAGGAGGGCTCCGAGGCCTGCAGAGCTGGGCGTGGTGCAGGGCCTCCGGGGTAGGTCAGCGTTACCTGGTCCGGAGGGACGGGCTGGTCGGAGTCTCCCAGCCTGAGGTCTTGGCGGTTCTGTGCTGGGATCCAGGTGGGGCAGGGAACCAAGGGCACCTCCGAGTGGACGGAGCCCCGGCTCCGGGGACGATGGAGAAGGTACCTGTAAGTCGCTAGGTCAGCACAAGCTTGCTGAGGGCCCGGCCAACCCCAGGGCCCAGGCTCGGGCCCCTGAAGGGCCCGGGTGAAGGGGGCCCGAGGACCGGAGAGCAGG